TTGCGGCACATAACTCCTCTTTGGCGAATCTGACATGCATCAAGTTGATGGCAAACTTCTGCTCATTATCTAAAAACACTTTTCCGACTTTCCCCCCTTTTCTCTGTTCCAAAGGGAGCTGTTTTTCTCAGAAAACTCACTTGTTTTATGCCACCAAGAGGGGTACAAGAGTGTGGCTAGAAGCCAGAAAGCTGTTTCCATCCCAAATGACCTGGACTGTGGGAAGTTTTCTTTCCCAGCCCCACGGACCTAAGCTTGGGAGGGGGCTCACTGAATTCTGTGGCATCTCAGTCTGTCCAAATCACCTCAACGAGTTGTTTCAATGTCTTTCTCTGCAACTTGGATTGCAGTAGGACCATACAAGAGGGTTGAGATACAGGGGAAGTATGTTCCACATTGCCTGGAATCATTTTAATTTAAAGTATATTGTTCTTTTTTTCATTGTCCCCACCCCCCACCACCAGAGAACAGGGCACAGGGGATGTTGACCACTTGCCCCAAGCTGAGGACTGTGGTAGGTGTGGGGATTTTAGAAACTACATTATTTAATTAAATGATCATCACAGTCCTGCATGACTTACTTTATAATCACAGGTGAGGACACCACGAAGGTTAAGGTAGACCCCGAATGTTGCCTAATCCCACTGACATACTTAGCCTTGCAGCTGGGTTTCAAGCCAGGGCCTTCGCTGCTAAAACCTGGGCTCCTTCTTCTATCTTGGTCATATCTGCAGATCACAGGAACTGACTGGTGATCAGGAGGTTAAAAATGTAGCTGAAGGCACAGGCAGGCATAGGGGGCAGTGAAGTGGCTGATACTCAAGAAGGTAAAGGATTCAATTAGAAAACAAAAATTAGGATGAAATATGCTGAAAGGAATTACCTGGGTTGTAACAATGAAATCTACACAAGAAAGAAAGAAAAAAAGGCAGAGTGGGAAATGATGACTTATTGCTTTATTTAGTGACAGTTCTCATTAGACATTTCCCATAGAAAGGGTCTGAAAATGTAACCTATCGCATTCTAGAATTGGCAAACACAGTTTAATGTCATAACCTCCCCTTTTGGAGAAAATAATCCTGTTTGGTTAAGAACAAACGTGTCATCACAGTGCCCATGTTCACACCATTGTCATGTGAATGAGATGTGACAAGTCATGTGTTTCCTCTCCTAGAAGTCTTCAGTGTTCTGGGGTGTCCTTTTGTATGGGCCTCCTGGGATGCTCACCCGCTCTGTGGCATTATTTAGGTAAGTTACTTAACAACTTGTCAAGACCTTCTTGGGGGCCCTGGAAATGCACCATTTCCTGTACATTCTCAAATCACTGGGGGTGATGGAAAGAGTACAGACTATGAATTCCATGGTCTGAAGGGCCAGGTTTCAAATCCATGCTGCTTGTATTTGGTATGACCATAAATCTCTTGGTTTCCTCATCTGTCACTAAGAGGAGGAGAAGAACTCCTACACTTGGGGCTTATAATATTGTAGGAGAAGATGTTTCTGTTTCTTTACTTGCTCCCAAGAACAGAAGGACATAGCCAACAGTTTGGTGGGTGTTCAATAAGTTAAACATGGAGTTACTGTATGACCCAGCAATTCCACTCCTAGGCATAACCCACCCCCAAACTGAAAACAGGTGTTCCGACAAAAACCTGTATAAGAATGTTCACAGCAGCACTTTCCACAACAGCCAAAAGATGGAAAGGACCCAAATGTCCACCAGTAGAGGAATGGAGTAACAAATTCTGTCTATCCACGTTTTGAAATATTACCCAGCCCTAACAAAGAATGAAATACTGATACCTGCTGTGAAATGATTGACCCTTGAAACATTACCCTTGTTGGAAGTGGAACACAGAAGACATTGCCTATCTTATGATTTCATGTATAGGAAATGTCTGGGATAGCCAAATCCAGAGACAGAAGTCCGATTAGTGGTTGCCAGAGGCTGGAGGAGAGAGGAACAGAGAGTCTCCGCAGAGTGAGCACAGGGGTTCGCTGGGGGGTAACGAAAATCTGCAACCAGAGGATAGCGATGGCGCCCAGCCTTATGAATGTACCAAATCGTGCACTTTAAAGTGGTTAAAGTGGTAACTTGTGTGTGACATGCATTTTACAATATTATATATATATATATAAAGAGACCCAGCGATGAGGACTGCGACACTCCGGAGACGTCCTGGCGAGCGCGGTTGCGAAGCGCTGTGCGGAGCTGGGTTCCCTGGGCCTCCGCTGCGCAGGATCCCGCCGAGGCCCGCACACGCCGCCGCGCGGTGTCCCCTGCCCACCTGGAGGTCTCCACGCCGCCGAACAAAGGCCCTTTCTTTGTCGGTGCTGGGGAGGCGCAGAGGGGCCCGGTGGGTGCGTAAACACGGGCAGGAAGGCAGGCCGCCTGAAAGCTTCCAAAAGCCCCTTTCTGACAAGTGAAAAATGTCGGTGACTTGAAGTCACAGGGCCAGGCTTTTAACAGCCCTCGGCGTATTTATTTAACCCAGTAAATTCGTTTATTAGCGGCCGCCTCCTTTGTAGAGCAGGTAATGGATTCCCCATATGGTTCTGCTTTGCCGAGGGCCACGCCAGCTCACACCTAGCTCCCTCCGGCCTCCGAGGTTGACCTCGGGCGCTGCCACTTGGCCGCCCGGCCCCTGCGAGCTGTAATTACCGTCGTTCCCAGGGAGGAGGAAATCCCGGCCTCGGCCTTAACTAGCCCCGGCGTGGCACGACCAAAGGGCACGGCGCAGAGGGGGGACGCAGAGGCAATAAAGCTTTCACGTTATTAACTTTTTCCTTCTGAAAAGAAGCCTGAAAAATGCCGTCGCACCACATTAAAGGCCGTGTGTGTGAGAGCGCCACCGCCTAATGAGGGCTCGGACCCTGGGCCACATGCGAGGCTTCCAGGGCCTCTTTAACGCGACCTTGATGTGGTGCCAGCCCCGGGGTGTGGGCATGAGGCTGGAGGGGCAGCTCCCTGCACCCGCCCAGAGCTGAGGCTTGCGCCTGAAGGGGGACCCAGCGAGAGTGGCAGGGCCACCCAAGGCAAGCAGAGGAGGGCACCGCGTGATGTGGATGGATGCCCCAGGCCCTCGGAGGAACCGTAGAATCCCCACAGCGGTGACAGGGAAGCAGGCAGGCAGACAGAAAGCACAGCGGGAGGACAGGTAGGTCAAGCACCGGCTGCTTTCCCCAAAGCGTGATGAGCCACCTCTGGACACAGGTTCCCACAAAGCAGGCGGCAGGAGCCCAGAGACACAGGAGCAGATATAGCCATCCTGCCCCACAGGCCAAGGTGGGGATTTCTAACTGTGAATGTGCTTTGTTGATTGGAGGAAGGCTGAAATTTCCTTCCCAGGTATTCCAGCTAAGTCCAGGGGTTATGGCTCTGTGTTGTGGGGCAGTACCGAGACACACCCATGAGCGCTGGCATCCAGGCTTGGTACTGAGGGCTACGGTGGAAATCTCACCACCTTGGGGGGGCCTTCTGCCCTAGGCCCTTAGGCCAGAGGACACTGCAGGAGCTCCCTGGTGCATACCGTAAGGGCTGGGGCAGCCACCCGTTAGGGAGCAGGGCAAGGAGGGCTCCTTCTCCACATTCTCCACCCCATCCCTAGGTGGGAAGAAAACCAAGCCAAGTCCTGAGTCTGGGGAGGAGAAGCTTGTCCAGGCCCTGGAAGTGGTATCCCGATGCAGGGAAGTTGGTCTTCCTCTGGTCCTCTGCTCTGTCAGCTGTTTTGTAGGCAATCTGCTGGGCCTAGCAGACTTCACCAGCCCTGCTCTCTGGAGACCTACACCTCCTCTCTGAGCACTCCCACCTTAGTACTAAGTACATGGCCTCCCCCAAATTGGCCCTAACCTATAATGGCTGTGTCTACTTGTACATATGCAGAGCACTGGCCATTCCAATGAGGGTGATGGTGGGGGATTCATAGAGCTTGTGATGTGAATGGAGCCCCACCCCTGCCCACCAGAGTCCTGTAGTGTGAAAACCCTGCTGATCAAATCAGAATCCTGGCATGGAACGGTTGGCAGTGCCCTCTGCACCATCATTGTACAAATGAGGAAATAGAAACCCAGGGAGGATGGAAGCAATTGGTATTTAACTCACCTTTACAATGAATAAAGCAGTTTTGCATACCTATCCTATGTGTCTCTCTGTATGGGAGTAGGCAGGCATGGAGAATCCATTTTGCCTAAGTGAAGTGAGACCACCAGGAAGGACTTCCTTAGCTACACACAGCCAGGCATGGCGGTGGCAGGACCAGGGCCTGAATCTCCACACATCTTGTGTAGTGGTTTTGCCACAAGCTGCCTTAAGGCTGAGAGACTCACCCTCTAATCTTCAGGCATCTCTCCATCATCTGTAACTGTGTATCCCTGAGAGTTAGCTCCTCTCAAAAACCATGATAGATGACCCTGAGCTCAAATGCTAACTTTGTTAGCTGACTGCTTAACTTATAAGCAATGCTCTTGTCTGATGTGTCTGTTCATTTATATGACAAATATGCAAGGGGTGGCTGCTATGGGCCAGACACTAGCGGTTCTGTGGTAAACAGAGCACACACAGATCTCTGCAGTGTTAGCTCACAAAAGACATGGCTAGGGCTCAGTCATCATCTATTAGACCTTCCAAGCTTGACTTCCACCTGCCCACTCTCCTGATACCCTATAGGTACAGTCATACTGTGACCTCTCCCAGAGAGGAGAGAAGGAGGTCAAAGCCTGTCTCTGGGCAGCCTCAGCCCTTGGAGCAGGCAAGGGAGGCATGGGAAAAGCCACCCATTCATTCCTGCATTTGCACTTCCTGGGCCAGGGGTGGCTGAGCATTGTCATGCTTGAGCTGGTGACAACGAATTCCACTACTAAGTGCTCCTAACCTTAGTGCTTTTCTAGGTAAATGATTTCCCATTACCTCAGGCATTTCCTGTACCAGGCCCTGTGTGTTGTTTATTTACAGGGTCACCAAAGGAAGGGAAGTGCCAGTTCTTCCCGTGTGAAGTGGGGGTTTAATGCTTAATCTGTGGGGAGGTTGTAAGCATTCAATTAAAAATGTGTATGTGATCATCTCGAATGGTGCTAGGGCACGCAGTGGGCAGTAAGAGACAAATGCTCCCTGTTTCTCTATGTTTACTATTGGAGACTTAGAATTCCAAGCTGGAAGGAACGTGTCTTTGCTTGCAGAAGTCTTAAACGTCTGCCAAAGTCCTCTCTGAAATGTTTTTGGAGCGGAACTTCACAGGTGAGAGTTGGGATGTAAAAGTCTGGTGTCTCGGTGTGAGCTTTCTTCCCCTTCGCCAGGGCTCACAGAGACTCCAGCCTTCCTTAGTCTAGAACACCCCTTCCTCCAGGAAGCTGTTCTGATGTTTGAAAGGGGGAAATCATAACGGTCGGATGGACAGACAGCTGAAGCTCCCAGGCTCAGGCCTCCAAGGCAGCAGCTGTTTGCATGTTTGTCTGTCAAAGGCTGCCCTTTGGGACCCTTGAAGTTCAGGAGATGAAGAGAATCTGTGAGGAGGATTGAGAGTGTAGCCGGGTGGGAGAGCGCTTGCCTTTGCATGGGTGAGACCTGAGGTTTGATGCCGAGCACTGAAAAAAAAAAAAAATCAGGGGTTGTGGGTTAAATGTAAAGAGGCACAGAATAGCTTCTTAGAAACATTCTCAAGAACAAAAGTGTTAAAAGTCAAGTGAAAAGAGTGACTGGTCCTTCCAGAACGTCTGCTCATGCTAAGACCCGTCTGTGTCACTTTAGAAGTACAAAGTGGTGTCATGTCCAATACATTAAAGGGCTTGTGTCTCAGCTCTCGTGTGCACTCAGCTTCATGCCACCAACCAACATGCTCAGTGGAGGGACAGCGGGTGTTGGGAACCAGAGACGCCTGGCGGGGTGTATGAGTTGATTTGAAATCTGGTATGGATTTGTTGTCAGAGAGTAGAGAAGGACACACAGGCCAAGGGAGCAGGCTGTGTGAATGCGTTTTGGTATTGAAGAGCCTAATGGGATTGGGAATGGTGAGTAGGTTAGAGAAAGGAGTGGCAGGATGCAGCCACAGGAGGGAAGCCTCAAAGGAGTTGTTCTGGAGACTCTGGGTGCTGGGCGTGCATCAAGGGTCCTAGGTAGTGTGTGTGACAAGATGAGTGTTTCAGAAACCCAAGGTAGGGGCTGCTTCCACTCTTAATCTGACTTGGTACGTGGGGAACCCGTGTTGACAATGGAGATGGAAATGTCGGTGAGTGACAGGCTGCTGACGCACACAAAGCCAGCTCAGACTGCTGGATTTGAAATGGCTCTTGCCTGCTGTCTGGGAGGGAATGGGCCTCGCCTGCATCTCTGCGTCACCCCCCTCCCCCTGGGAAGCTGTCTGTCTTCATGTGAGCCAGCAAGTCCAGTATTTTTGTGCTGGAAAACTCTGCTGTCTTCCACCACAGGCGGCTTCTAGCTTTCAGCAGAGGATTACTTAGAATAACAAGTTAATGACTGTCCTTGGATTAGCCAAGGTTCGCTGGGAGAAGCAGGCATGCCCAGCATTCATTTACTGGAGTCTGGTGGGGGTGGGTGCAAATTCCATCCCAAGAAAAAAAGAGAAGAATTTTTCACTTGGTCAGAGTAGTATCATTAGAAGAAGCTTGGAGAAGTGAGGCTACATTAAAAAAAGTAAAAGCAACTCTTAACAGTCCTCTGAGTGCAGGGGGGAGCTGGTGGCAGATCTACCTGGGGACATGAGGACTGGGCTCTGCTGGTTAGGTTTGTTCTTCAGGTCAGATGATTGGGGGGAGGTAACAGCTGGGGGTGGAAGTGAAGGGGAGGGGAGGGTGGGTCAAGGAGGAGCAGGGAGACAGAGCTGAGGAGCTGACTCTCCTCAGTCAACACTACAGACCACCAACAGCCCTCTGGGCCCTGGCCGGCCCTGGCCAAGCCCACTGGACTGTCTTAGTGTTAAAGGTGTCCACACTCACTCATCCATTCAACTCAATAAACATTGGTGTCCTGAACTTACGAGGGCCCACTGAGAGAATCAAATGGCACAAAGACTCTTTGCCAAATGCTAACTCTGGAGCCTGCAAAGCCCTTCAAGGAAAGAAATATGGTGGCTCAGGGAGCCTTGTTCAGACTTACAGCATGTCCTTGGCTCAGAAAAGCGCCAGGGCCTGGAGGAGACAGGGTCTGCTGGCTTCCTTGGGCTGAGAGTGGCAGATGTAGACCCTAAATGACAGGGAGGGAGAAGAGCAGCACCTGGCTTCCCATAGCTGGCCCTGACAGATCCCTCCCTACTCATAGGGACCATGGCTATGAGTGCTGCAGTGTTTTACTTCTAATAAGTCCATTTAAAAAACAGCTCTACTGAGGTATAGTTGACATACAAACTTAATATTTCATGTATTCAATCAAATGAGTTTGGATGATGTGAACCCCCATGATACAATCACCACAGTCAAGGTGATATGTCCAAAACTTGCCCAAGGTTCCTTGTCCCCTTCCTTGTTCTTGCGTTAAGATCCCTTGGCACGAGACTTGCCCTCTAGACAGCTTTTCAGTGTACAGTATGAAGCTGTGCCGCAGTCTGGCTGGGCACAAATGCCGCAGTCTGGCTGGGCACACAATCACGAGCCACCACACAGCTTGTAGATTCAAACAGCAACTCTTTATTCCCGAACTCACACCAGCCGTCTACAATCACGTTCTGGGGAAATCCACGTTCTCTCCCAAATCCGCGTTCTCTCCCAAATCCACCTCCACTGGGCTTCTATCTCCAAAATATACTGTCTGAATCCCGTGAGAACTCAAGGGGAACTCAGGCAGCAGGATACGCCCTATTCCCAGCAGGAATAATCTTAAACCTTAAACCTGGAACCTAAACTGGGAACGCCCTAAACAAGATTATCTTAAAACCGGGAGCACCCTAATCTGCCTTGGTCCTTGAGCAAGGTCACCTACATTCAATGTCACTGCAACATGTCAGCAACATGGGGTACGCTGGCAAGGAAATTGTCATACCTACTTGGCTAATGGCTCCCAGCAAAGCTGAAACTTTGTGCCCATTCCATACTTACCCTGTCCCCACCCCTCAGCCATTATTGTATTCTTTCTTTCTAAAGTATGACTACTTTAGATGCTTCACATAAGTGAAATAATTCAGTATTTGTTCCTCTGTGACTGGCTTATCTCACTTGGCATATCTTCTAGGTTCATCCAGGTTGCTGCATCTTTTGGGATTTTTTTAAATTTTTAAGGCGAATAATAGTCCATTGTATGTGTATAGCATGTTTTGCTATCCAACAGTCCATTGATGGGAATTTGGGTTATTTCCACGCCTTGGCTATTGTGAAGAATGCTGCGATGAATGTGGAAGTGTAGACATCTCCCTGGAACCCTGATTTTAATTACGTGGCTGGATCATGTGGTAGTTCTCTTTCTAATATGGGTGGAACCTGTTTTCCATAGCTGACGTACCATTTTACATTCCTGTCAACAGTGTACCAGGTTCTAATCTCACCTGGATGCCTCCAATATTTGTTATATTTTTAGTAACATCCAACCTATTAGCATGTGAGATGACATCAAATTGTAGTTTTGACATCCATTTCCCCGATAGTGAGCACCCTCACATACTTGTTGGCCGTTCTCATATTTTCTTGGGAGAGACTTGGAGAGGTTAGGTGATCTGTGGAGGTGACAGCTCAGTAGCAGGGTGGACACTCGAGCCCTGTGGTTGACTCTTGCCTGTGCTGCTCTTCACTGCCCCATGAGGAAGGGTCTTCCGTATTGACCAGGAGCTGAGCTGAGGAAGGACATGGGAGGGAGGCTGGGGGGCCATGTGGGAGCAGCTGGAAGTGTGACCTAGAAGGCCCTCAGGGGACTTTGCCAGAGATGCAACAGGAAATGGGGATTTCCAGTCCCCCCTGGAAAGGAAGGACTTAACTAAAGAGTGGACTTGAGCAGTCCCTTGAGCCCTAAAGTTCCTCCCTGGCCTCACAGAAGACTCTGACTCTGAAACCGGAAGTTCCTGAAGGGTGAGAGTCAGGAATTGTCTGATGAGAGTTGTACGTAGGAAAAGAAAGGCGTGGGGGAGCTGGAGATGGTGTACACGGACAGCTCAGGCCTCTCCCTGGTCTCCATTCCTGGTGATCTACTTCAGAGAACCCTGGAGGGGCAGCAATCACTCTAGTTTTGAAGACAGAAATTCCAGGGCATGAATTCTTCCAGCACATTCTCTTGTAGTTTGTGCAACCTTGAGCAAGCTGCTTAACAGTTCCGGTGGCACAAGCCTGTAATCCCAGTGACTCCAGAGACTGAGGCAGGAGGACTGCAAGTTTGAGGTCAGCATCAGAAATATACTGAGACCCCAAGCAATCTAGTGAGGCCCTGTTTCAAAATAAAAAAGGGTAGGGATATAGTTGAGTGATAGAGTGCCCCTGTGTTCAATCTCCAGTACAAAAACAAAAACAAAAAAAAAGAAAGAAAAGAAAAAAGAATAAAAGTTCTGGGCCTTAATTGTCTCATCCGTTACAAATAGAGGGGCTGGAAGGCGGAGGGGCCTGGGCTCTGCAGTCTGATTCACAATATTGTCACATAGTCACCATTTTTCATTGCATCACCACTCTGCACAGACACCGCTCTAGGTGCTGGAGATACTGAAGGATTCATGAGTGCCGCAGTCTGGCTGGGCACAAAATAACCGAGCCGCCACACAGCCTTGTAGGTTCAAAACAGGAACTCCTTTATGCTCCGCACTCCCACCAACGCCACGCACGCGGCCTTTCCCCCCACCCCCCCCACACACCACACACACCACACACACCAACCGGAATTCCCTCCTCCAGAAATCCCTCCACCGGCACTTCCCCAACCAATGGGAACTCTCCGGGAATCCCTCGAGAACTCCAAAGTATCAGGCTGAGGCGGACAGCAGGGGTCTAATATCCAATTGAATTCACAGCTTAACATAACCATTATCATCTCAATGGCTTGCTGGCGTCACCTCTCAACCACTCGGTTCTGGCAAAAAATGCCATGCGTCATTCCGACTCAGCTATGGCTCTCAGCACATGAGGTAACAGATGACATATATTCTTAACCAATCACCATCAGTTAAGAATGGTTACCTTTCCCAGAACATTGCAGGGCTTTAGACCATGAACATAGTAAGGCCCTTTCTAGGACATAGTAGGGCTTAATAAATGCATTTGGAGAGCTAGCCTCCAAGCCTACCCCTAATGAGCCTTACTTCTTGGTGTTTATGT